TCTCGGGTGCCAGCGGCCGGTGGCACCAGGCCCTGGGGCTGGGGGTGGCCCTGTGTGCTGTCCCCGTCGCTCAGGTAATGTGGGATGGGGGCACCCCCTCCCTGGGAACAGCTTAATGTCCAAAAACACTTGATTAACCTTGTACAGACCCATTTTCACCCTGCAATTGTATCTTCTGTGAGCGCTTGGCTAGTAACGAGCAGTGAGGCTTTGCCTTAGCTTTGTCTTGAGCCAATATCCATGTGGAAGTGGGTGTGAAGGTCATGGGAATGCCTTGTGTTGCAGCAGCAGGGATCGGTGTCCCTCAGCAACGATGCCCTGATCAGAAGAGCCGTGTCCCTGGTGACAGACAGCACGGCCACCCTGCTGTCCCAGACCACCTACGCGCTCATCGAGGCACTCACAGAATACACAAAGGTAAGCTTGAGAGAACACACACCTGGCACCAGTCACTGCTGGAAATACTGAAGGATCTGGCACTAACTACACCTCTTAAACCGGGCTCAAAATGCACTTCTAAAAGTTAATATAACCGAAGGGGAGTGGGGTGGAAGATGTCGGGTCCCTCGGAAGCCGTGGGCTCACTGTTCAACACCAAACGTGGAAATTACTTTTAGCTTTGTTAAACTGTTGCTTTTGGGTTAAATTGAGAGAATCATAGAATGGTTTGGGTTGGAAGGGACACCTTCTGCTAGACCAAGTTGCTCCAAGCCCTGTCCAACCTGGCCTGGGACACTTCCAGGGATGGGGCAGCCACAGCTTCTCTGGGCAACCTGTGCCAGGGCCTCCCCACCTTCACAGGGAAGAATTTTTTCAGTATCCAAGCTAACCCTGCCCCCTGTCAGTTTGAATCCATTCCCCTTGTCCTGTCACTCCACGCTCATGTAAAAAAAGTCCCTCTTTTTACTTAAGCCAAAATGACCCTGGAACTCAGAACTGGGCCTGAAGAAACTCATAACAGTTATTTCTGTTACCTGTGTACTGAATTCTCTATTCCTGGGTATTTTATTTCCCTTCTCTGCCTTTCTAAGGCCACGAACTGAGTTTCGTCAGAATGGTGTGAGCCACATTTAAGCCTGAAACAACAAGATATGATTTTAATTTTATAAATAAAGTGCCAATTTGAGTAAAGTATTTGCATTCCAGTTTATGCCCTTCTTACTACAGCAAGCACATGAAGAGTAATTTTGTGAGACAGCATCAGAGCTGTTGCAGACTGTGTGAAATGATTCCTCTGCAGGCAGTTTATACCCTGGTGTCTCTCTACAAGCAATACTCAAATCTCCTGGGGAAGATGAACTCGGAGGAGGTGGATGCAGTGTGGCAGGTGGTCATAGGAGCCAGAGTCGATGTGAGTGGCCACCTCCCTTCCCTCGCCCTCTGCCTCTGCAGACCCCGCTCAGCATGTTCTGATCTCTCTCACCTTTTCACAAGGGTGGGAGAGCACTTGGGGGCTGTTACACCTCGTGATGTAACACCTTGTTTTCCCCTCCAGGTGAAGACAAAGCAGCAGGAATACCTGAGGCTGGAGTCCAGCTGGATGACGGCGCTGCGCCTGTCGGAGATGGCGGCAGAGGCTGCCTATCAGTCGGGTGAGCCCTGGCACTGACACTGCCTTTGCCCTTTTCCCTGGGAGAACAGAATATTCACTCAGTTAACTGACCAATCCACAGCTCCTGCCTGGTTTTTAGAGGGGCTCAGAACATACATTCTGTTTTTGGCTGTGAGTCCATAGAAGTGTTCTGAGAACCAGGCTTGGAAACTTCACATGTGGTTTAGGTCAAGACCGAACACAACCAAAGGGATTTGAGGGAAGAGTTTCGTCATTTTTAAATGCAGGTTCAAACACAGTTGTGGGAGCCACAGAAATAAGGCTGACTGGGGGTCCAGCAGGGCTTTCTAGCTGAATTCAGTTGTATTAAAGAAAGAAAAGAGGTTAATTTTGGTCTTTTCTCTGTGTATAGATCTGATAGCTCTGAGATGGAGTTACGGGTTGGTTTATGGTAAACTGGCAAAGTTACTGGAGTGGAGAAAGAGAGGAAAGCGGTGAATATGCAGGGATACCCTGACTTCGGAAGTGCCTGAAAAAGACACAGAATCTGTAGAAGAATGGAAGGAGAAGGGATTCTGAGTTCAGCAGTGCCACAGGAATTCCTGCTGCTGTAGGTGCCAGGACAGGACAAGGACTGAAAGGTCCTGGCACACAAGGACTGGGCTGGGCTGTGATCACAACCTGATCACTCTGATCCAGCTCCAGCTGCATCCCAGTGGGGCAGGAGAATTCAGGGGAGCAATGAAATCTCAAAGCAGACCAATTGTTTGAGGTAAATGCATTGAGCATTCATACATCCCTAGAGCCATCCAAACATAGCAAAGCAGATGCTAATTGCAGTCATTTCCTTAACTGAAGGGTTACCCAGTGGCCCTCTAACCCTGTATTTCCATTCTTACCCCCAGGAGCAGACCAGGCCTCGGTGACAGCCCGCAGCCACATCCAGCTCGTGAAGTCACAGGTACAAGAAGTGAGGCAGCTGTCCCAGAAAGCAGAGACCAAATTAGCTGAAGCTCAAACAGAGGAGCTCATAAAAGCTCAAGGAGAGGAATCTTCGTTGCCACAGGGGATTTTAGGAAATATGGATGCAGGTGATGATCCTTACCTTCGGGAGGACTGAACAGAACTGAACTGTAGCATATCTGGGAGTCAGTCACAAATTGAACGGTCCCAAACTATTGTGTGGGATAGTCTCAAACTGCTGAAATACGCCCATGATTCCATATTTTCCCCAAGCAGGATTGCTGTAGAAATCAAGTCACTTCCAGGTATTTGGAAGGCCTCTATTTTGTTTGTAACTTACCTTGTTTGTAATACTTTTGGATTCATTTATTTAAACGTTTATCTATGCAAATGTGAAGACTGCTATCAAGGACAGCCCGGTGTTAATTGTGTCTCTGCTGGGAAGTTCGATGTCTTTGTGGGAGCTCATTAGGGATCAGCCAAAGAAGTGTATTTAAAGAACCTTGTTTTTAACATGCGAAGTAAATGATTTGTGTGAGGAGATGCCTTTATTAAACTGTGCAAAAGCATCCCATTGTGACCATGTCACCGTTTGGGTGAGAGATTAAGTTTCTAATGTCTGAGTTGACAGTTGCACCAAATTCCACTGAGCTGCATTTGGGGGAAATATTTGCTGTAGAGCTGAGAATTTCCATGGAGTTCCTCAGGCTCTTGGTGAAGGGTTGCAGTTCAGCACAGCATCCTCTGTCACCAAAGAGTCACCACACCTCAGGAGGTTCCCCAGGAAGCAAAAGGAGGTTTGATTGTCAAGATAAAGTGGTTATAAACAAAATTATTTTGGTAACTGCCGCGGGCTTCTGTACAAGGCAGTGAGCAAAAGAGTTTTACTTATTTGAGTGCTTTTGAGCACAAGCTTCAGGAAATAATCTGAATTCTCTCTTTTGCAAGCTTGACGTTTCACTACAGGTTTCAAAACCACAAGTGTCTTTCACTGTGCTCATTTTCTAACTCCACAGCTAATGTGAAATTGGTTTTGTAGAACAGTATCCACTAGAACTTTGTCATTGCTGGCTGGAATCAGGTTTTGTAAGAAAACACACATTATTCAGAGGTTTTTCACAACAAATTACCATCTGATGCCCTGCATCTGTGTCGAGGTGGCTGTTACTAAACTGAGGAATTTTCTGTAGCATAAGTTGTCTCATTTTGCCTGCCCTTGGGACAAATGCAATCTCAGCTGCACAGCACGGTACATTTATAGATTCAGTAGTAAAAGAATTAACAAACCACCTTTCCTTGCTCCTCACTGGGTGGGTGTTGCTGTATCCAGGGAGGATGGCACAGTCTGGAATTCAGCTCACAGGGAGCTGCCAGTGTCTGCTGTGCCAGGAGGCCCCAAACTCAGCTTTGGGCAGGAGCATGAGTCAAAACCCCACTATGATGAGAGGATTATTTGAGCAGTGGCACAGCCAAGGCCTCAGGAGCCAAATGCACCCTCGGGTCAGCTCTAACCACAACTGCTCTCACTTGCAGAGCAGTTGGAACATCTGCCAAGCCCCTGACCCCAGTGCACACACAAGTTGTGTTCTTTCAGGGTGCCACAGGAACTCCACTCTGATGTTTGCGTGGCAGAGACGGGGCTCAAGGCAGATGAGCACTGCCAGGAGCCTGCAAAGCCAGGAAACTCCCTCTTCCCCTTTTCTTCAGAGCCTGCTCCCAGCCCTGTTGTCACCCCACTTCTCGTTTCACTGCATGCTCTGCACTTCCCAAAAGCTGTTCCCACACACATCCAACCTGACACGACAGAACCAGCCAGTCAAATCACAGTGGGAGTGAGGAGCACGAACAGCTCCACATCACCCCCAAAACGGGGCACAAGGGAGTCCCTCGGCCTTTATTAGGAAGTGAGAGCTGCCAGCTGGGGATTAGCCTGTACACCTAAACCCACAACAGACATGACATCACGCTCTGCGTTCCTGAGTTTGCACTGGGAATCACTGAGTGGATCAGGAAAATGCTGGCACAGCAGCTCCCAGGGCACCACGGCACCCGCCCTGCCCGCTCTCTTCTCCAGGACAAGCGGCAGCACCCAGAGAATTGCGCCCAGAAACTGAGTTTGCTGCTGAGAGTTGGCCTTGTTTACAAAGCCAACGCACCTGAAACCACACACAGGGAATTTCTCAGATGCAGGTAATTAATCCTTGTCAGGGCTGCAGCCAGAAGACACAATGGCAGCTTGCACAGGATCACAGTGAGGATGGGCACCCACCCCTCAGCAGAGCAACCCTTTGAGGCAAACCCTTACTCACAGCTGGCACAGGAACAGCTCACCTGAGAGTGGCACCTTCTGCCACAAGAGCTGGGTCACACCTGGGGCTCAGCCAGACCTGCACTGGGTGCTTGGGAAAGCCAAGGCAGCCCAGGAAACCCCCTGCCCTGAGAGCTCCCCACACCTCTGGCCTCGGGGTGTCCTCAGTGTCCCTGTCTGTCCCACGAGCAAAAACCTGGAAGTGCTTCCCAGGCACCTCTGAAAGCTGCAGCTCCCATCTGGTGGGGTGAACAGTGGGCAGCTGGCACCGGAGGCAGCAATTACAACAGCACAACACAAATGGCTTTGGCTTCTGTAATCACACACTTCCTCTCCACCCACTATATTTTTTTTCCTAAGGCTTCCAGGCTGTTTCCTTGCTCACACACAGCACACCAGTTCTGCTCTAGCAGCAAGACACGCCGGCACTGAGGAGTTCCACAGAAGTATCACCAAATCTTAGTTCCATATTTGATATTTCCTCAAATTAGCAGCTCCAGCACATTCAGATGAATCACTTTCGTGTCAACGCATCTTGACAGGGCAGAGAACAGCAGCTGCTCACTTGAAAGGAAGTGGCATTTCCGCATAATGACTCCTGAATGCAAACACCCAGCACCAGATCTCAGCCTTCCCTGGCTTTTAGGGCTCTTAGCTTTCAGGAGACTCAAGAATATTCCTGTAAAAACACTTTTCAAAAGTGTATTTTATTTGTACCCACCATTACAACAGCAAAAAACCAAACACCTCCTACACAACATGACACGCTGCAGCCCCTCTTCCTACCACTGTGATTATTCAAGACACATTGCTCCTCTCACACCTGATCAGAAAGTCTTTGTGCAAAAGTTTCCAGTGCAAGTAAACCTGTAATGACCTTCCATAAAAGGCAAAGGGCTTGAGTCAGAGCCCAGTCCTTTGGGTCATCATCACTGCTGTGTTAAGGCAATATATTTTTGAGGATTTTTCTTATCCACTCTCTTTCTCCTGCTGTCCAGCAGGAGCTGTGGGATTGCTGCTCTGGACAGTGGACCCAGCAGCACACACTGGACTTTCTCCCATCCCTTCAAGTAATTTCAAGTGCTCTGTCACTTGTCAGTCATCACTGGCCTCCCCACACGAGCCTGAATTTGGCCGGTGGTCAGACATCGGTGTTGTGGAGCCTCCATAGCAGGTGGCCCCTCACTCACATTCCCGTGGCAGTTGTGACTTCCCTGGGAGGAGCTGAGCCAAGTCCCCCGTGCTGTGTCTCACCATCCCCACCATGTGACAATTCAACTGCTTCAAGCAACCCCCCGACAGAAAATGACTCACTGCAAACCAAACCCTGACGGCTCCAGCGCAGTCTGTTAGTAACGGACACGGTTCTACCACAACCTGACTTTTAGTTTAGTACCCTGTGCCTGCCACCAGTCACAACCTCGCTGGGCTCAGCGGGAGCTCCTTTTCCACCGACACCGCACACCGAATGCTGTCGTCCCTCACCAGCGTCCACATGATCCACATCTCCGTGGGGTTGAGCTTGTGCACAACCATCAGCCCTTTGTACAAGCACGGATCGAAAGCGTTGAAAGGTCTCTGGATCCCAAAAGTCTTAAAGCCAGCATGGTTCTTTGGGGTCACGGACATCTTCGCCAGACACATTCCCACAAACACGTCATCTATCGGGAAGAGCTCCGTGTCCTCTGCGGTGCTCTGGAGGCGACGCACTGTCTCTCTAGACATCACATACCCCCCTCCTCCTGCATAGTGAGGATAAAAGGAGGCTCCATACATGGCCTCTGGGATAAAGTATTTGACCTTGGTGTTCCTGATGGGCCGGGCGTTGGCGATCACGTCCCCAACAAAGAGATCCTGTTCAGGGTCCAACTCCTGGAGGAACTCCACGATGTTGTAAGTGTTGACGAACACGTCATCATCGCCCTTCAGCACAAACCTGGCATGCAGACAGTCCTCCATGAACCAGCGGAGGAAATGCAGCTCCTTGAGGGTCAAGTTGAAGAAGTTGTCAACGAAATCCCACTGCAAGATGTCACCAAACTCCTGGCTCTCGTAAGCCAGCAGCTGGTGCAGGGGCTGCACCTGGGTTTTGGCCTCTGAGCGCCCCAGAAGGAACACCAGCCTGATATTCTTGCCCCTGATAGAGATCTCCTTCCCCCACGTGTTCCTGATTGCCACCCTCCGGTCCACGTTGATCGGGGAGGACTTGACGGCCAGCAAGAGGAACATCTCTTTGCTGCACCTGGGAGGCTTCAGCAGGACTGGGAAGCTCCGGCAGTGCTTGTACGTTAAGAAGACGCGGTGAAGCTCCGGGAGCGCCAGGGAAGAATTGGCGAGGGTCAAGTTCGGCAGACACTTGGTGGGTTCGGCGTTGTCCAGAACCAAAGACTTCACTTTGTGACTCACTACATCCATTTTCTGGTTCTCTGACGATTCCGATAGCTTTGCCTCTTTCCTCAGGTAAAACACGCCGGCGAGCAGCGTGATGGAGAAGGTGTAAAGGGCGAGGTTCCTGATCCTGGGATACATGGCAGCCCCCGGCACCGACCGGCCCTGGGCACAGCAACACGAGCCCTTCTCTGCCGGAGTGTCCGCGGGCAGGGACGGGACGCGCCGGCCGCTCCCCCCGGGCGGGGCTCGGTGTTTCCCCCCAGCCGGGACCCGGTGCCGCCGGCGAGGGCCGGAGCGCTGCGGCCGCTCCGGAGCCCCCGGCCCCGCTGACCGGGCTGGGAGCCGCCGGCTCCCTCCACCGTGTCCCCGGCACAGCAAAACCCCCACCTCGCTCTGCGGAGCCGCCGCCGACCTAGCGGAGCTGCCCCGCCCCGCTCCGCCCCTGGGCGGGGGATGAGGGGGCGGCTGGCACTGGGCAGCGTGTCCCGGGCGCTGCAGAACCCCCCTGCATCCCGCACATCCCCCCTACACCCCGCACATACCCTCTGTACCCACACTTCGCGCTCCACACCCCGCACCAGCCCCCGCCCACCGCAGCTCCGGCAGAAGCTCAGCAGCAGCCCCGGACCGCCACAAACCCAGTGCGATCTCCCAGCTCTGGCGATTCGGCTCAACCAGGATCCACGCTGCGTTCCCGTGTGGTTTATTTCCCACTCGGCTCTGGACACGTTACTGGGTTTTCTCCACTTCCACGGCCTCGTTCTCCTGGCTGTGGGCACCGACTGCCAAGGGCCACCGAAGCAGCTGCATCTGGAATTGAACCACCAGTGGCACCGGCTGGAGCTCTTGACCTTCCTCCGGCTCAGCAGTATCTTTGTTTTTTCCTTTTCCTGTGGAAAGAAGTAAATCTGTCACTGTCTCGAGACAGTAAATCACCCTGAAAGCAGTAGCGTGCAGGGGGACTGCCCATGGTGTCAGCACTGCCTGCTGGGCCTTGAGGGAAATCTATTTGAATATGACTTCAGATAAGAAGCCCAAGAAGCATCTTTAGGCAGGCAACTGATCTGGGTGCAGCTACGTGTTTGTTGTTAAATTCCCCTGGGACAAAAGAAAGATGCAGAAATAAACAATTTCAAGGATTCTGCAAAATGGAGCGTGGGGTAAAATGAGACGTACGTGAGACTACTTCTGAAGACATCCTTCAATGTCTGGGCAAACTGTTCACTCGAGACAAAGCTCGCTGCCTTTCCTCTTTGAGCCGTCTGGAAGTGATCCCAATTCCTCTGAGAGGACTTATTATTTGTGTGCATTTGCTGACTGGGGGATGCAAATTAGCCTCAGCTCCCGGCTGGGAGAGAGCTGGTCCCTGCACAGCCTGGCCGGACACACGGCCAGGAGCCATCCCCGTCCCTCGGAGTGTGGGCTCTGCTCTGCTTCAGGGTGGTACGTGGTGCTCAGGGGATGAGCAAGAGCCAGATGGCCACGGTGCACCCTGGTGACTCACAGAGGAGCCAGGAGGTGCAGACACAGCCAGGATGTGCAGAGATGCTCGAGCTGCCCCCCCAAGCCGCAGTCGGGGTGTTCCTGTGAGTCACATCGGAGCACGGGGCCACGGCACAATGAGTAGAGCAAGCTGGGGGGGGTGGGCAGCTCATTTGTAGGCACCGTGAAATTTTGCATCCACACTTTGAAACACGCCCTCGGTGGGCCTGCGGTGCAGCCAAGCGGCCTCCACCTGCACAGGCACGCGGGGACACCAAATTAACCACGAGCCTCGAATGGCTCTGGGCTTCCTGTGTCAGCTGTGCATCCATCTCTGGCCACACAACCCCCCACACAAAGGGTTCACCTCATTCAAGCTGAAAGGAAAACCTCCTACTGACTACAGGACTGGGGTGGAGGAAGGAAGAAACACCAGTGCTGACACTGTTCATCTGTTCGACAGCAGCTGCCTGCTCTGCTTCAGCAACGGGCTGGGTGTACATCGCAAAGACACATTTTCTTGTGGGGAACAATAATTCAAAGGGTTTTCTTCTTTTCAGGTAGCTGGGAAGGCCACAAGCTTCCTCTAGTGCAGACACTACAGGGCTCTGAGGTCCTCCCCAAAGATGGGGACCTTGCTGTGGGTGATGGGGCACAGAAATCAGCCTGGAGCTCTTGGGAAAGGGAGTTAATTGCACTCTTAAATCTGATGCCAGAGCAGGGAAACAAGGCTCCTTTGGTAGCTCTGAGTAGTGCTGGGGAGGTCTGGCCCTCTCCATGATCTCACTGACCCAAGAGCAGCTTTTCAGCACTGCCTGACCACCCTTCCCTCCCCCACTTCCTCCTGCTCTTGCATTACCCCTCCAAAGTGCTGTCAGTGCTATTTTTGCAGTCAAAACCAAGGAAAAATAACCTGCAAGAGGCAGGGTGAGTTTTGTCTCCAGTGGATTAAGCAACACTGCTGGCTGAGCAGCCTGTGAGCTCTGCACTGGGGAGGGGACACCTGTTGGGGTCAGGGTGGTCCTTCACAGGGAACAGCAGCCTGGGGTCTGTTCCCAGCCCTGCTGTGGGGCACCTGGGGCTCTCTGTGCAGCTCATCTCCAAGCCAGGAAGAACAGTAATCCCCTCTGCAAAGTGCTTTGAGATGGGAGTTGGAAATGGATAAGGAGCTTATTATGCATCCCAGGCCACCTTCCCCCTGCTGCCCACGCCAGCCCTCACACCGTCCACACTTGGCAGCCCACACAGAGGGCAGCACATTTCTCACCCACAAATCAGCTGTGCCCTTGTCCCCTGGCACACGGTGCTGGTGGGGGGGTGTGTCTCCCCCAGGACAGCCAGCAGCCCACCCTTGGTCCTTGCTCAGACACTGATTCATGAGGTGTCCAGGCGCGTGTCCATCCTGACAGCCCCGCACTCAATGTCTGCATTCACAGCCCGAGGCTCAGGATGTGAGTAAGTGCCTGCTCCTGCCAGGGTGGCTGTGCCCTGTGGCTGCCTCTGGCTGGGCACTGCTCCTGTTTGCTCTCACACACACACACACACACCACCCTCTCCCCCACCAGCTCCAGGCTCCATCCCTTTTGGGAGACCCCGAGGTTTTCTGGCCGGCCTGACCTTCTGCCTTTGTCTTTTTGTTCTTGTCTTTGCCTTTTTTCTCATCCTGTGGAGAGAGACATTTCCACAGTTAGGCTGTGTTGAAATCCAGTGCCCTCATCCAGTCCTGTGACAGCCATCACCATCGGGGTGCTGTCACTGGGATTTACAGGGCAGGGGAAGGAAGTGAGGGGGAACAGGAGCACAGCAGAGGGGCTGCTCTGAGAGGAGAATCCAGGAAATAGAAACTGTTGGCACAGCTGGTATGTGCTGCCATGCTGAGAGAGAGCACCAGAGGAAGCACGAGTGGTTGCTTTCACATTCTCAAATGGAAAAATCAACTCATATATTTTGCTAAGCCCGTAAAAAGCAGCAGTACTGCTTGCTAACATCAGTTAAATAGCCATGCCAGCAGGGATGGATGGTGGTTGAAGAGGGCTATTTTAGCCCCATTTTAGGGAGGGGAGGACTGAGGGACAGATGGATGGATAGGATGCCCAGGCCACTGAGGACAGAGCAGGCTGCAGGGCAGGACATGCTGAGCCCCAGCCTGCAGCACTGCCCATCCCTGGCAGCCCTGCCTCACCCCCCTCTGTGGGGACATATTCCTTACCTTCTCCTCTGGAACTGGAGGTTCTGGTGGTTTCTCAGTGATCAGGACCCCAAAGTCACACACAGTCTCCACCAGGTCCTCGGTGGCCAGCAGGGCCTCCAAGGTCACCCTGGTGGTACCCAGGGTTCTCAGAATGGGAGGGTCACTGCGGAGTTCTCGGGGCTGCTGCTGCTGCTGCTTCTTTTTCTTGTCCCTGGAGGGACGACGCTGCAGGACACCAGCACAGGGACAGGCCTCAGCAGAGGCTTGGAGTCCCTTTATCAGAGAGAATCAACCCCAACCCAGCCCCTTGCCCACCCCTGCATCCAGGCCAAGGTGTGTGTAACCAGCTGCTGCCTTCCTCCCTTGGCAAGGGGGGACTTTGGGAGAGGTCTGGGATGGAGCAATGACTCTCTGACACACCAAACTAATCCAGGTTCTCTCATCACCACTCTTGCAACTCAGATATATAATTTGGCCATTGTTCTCTCCCAGCACCCTACCTTGGCACTGTCCTGTCCTTCCTTCTTATTGTCTTCTGGGTCAGCATCTACAGGCCATGAGAGCACCTGCCCAGAGAGAGGAGCTGCTGCTTCAGGGGCTGGCAGGGCCCAGGGTCACTGCCATCCCAGCCTGCCCCCCAGAGGGAACATGGTACCACTGCTGGGCCTCCCAGCAGCATTCCCCCCTTCATCCAGCTCTGCCAGACACTCACCTTCTCCTCCACAACTGACACAACCGTTCCAGCTGCCAGGTAGGACTTCAACCCCACCAAGTCCTTGGCAATGTGCTCCTTTGTGTAGCTGCAGTCGATGGTGTCTGCCCAGGGCTTTCCAGGGGTGGCAAACACCCTTGCTGTGTAGGGACACAAAGAAGTTCTGAGGAGACCTTTGCTTTGAGACTGGTGCCAGTTCATTATCCATCAGTCCCAGGCTGACACTGTGAGGGACATGCTGATGCCACCACAGGCCAGGAAGAGCCATAAACTTGCCCTGAGCGATGGGACAGGGGATTTACAACTCCTCATTACCAGAGTGAGTCTTTGGCTCGTCCGTGGCTGCAGGGTCCTGCTGGTTCTTTGTTTCTCCTATGTCCTGAGCAGAGCTGGCCACATCCAGCACAGACACCGTGGGACTCTGCTGGGTTTTTGTTACCTGGAACAGAGAGGGGTCTCTTGGTTAGACATGTCTGGTTTTGTTTGCACTGGGACCAGCTGCCCCTGAAATCCCATTCCCCACCCCACCCTCATGGGAAGAAGGGGCACCAGGGCCAGGGGAGGGGTCTGCCACAGCCAGCAGGAGGGGGGCTGTGAGAGCACACCCCTGTGCAGAGCTCTGGGCTCCTCAAGAGAGACAGGGAATGTGGGCAGCAGGGACTTGTCCTGCCAGATGCAGCCCCATGGGAATTCTGTCCCCAGTACTGCTGCTGCCCCTGCCACATCCATCACTCCATAGCCTGGAGATGGATTCTCCCTTGCTGTGACCTGCCAGGCCTGTTGGCCTCCAGGAGCACAATTAAGGACCAACCTCAGTGTTGCTCTCATCCTCCAGCTCCTCTTCCTCCGCAAACTGCTCCTGTTCCTCCGCAAACTCCTCCTCTCCCTCTGGAAACTCGTAGGTCACAAAGTAGCTGCAGGTGATCACAGGGGCCTCGGAGCCAACCTCCAGCTGCT